CAGGAGAGGACTGGACGGAGTCAGACAGGAGAGGACTGGACGGAGTCAGGCAGGAGAGGACTGGACGGAGTCAGGCAGGAGAGGACTGGATGGACTCAGGCAGGAGAGGACTGGATGGACTCAGGCAGGGATGCAGGAGAGGACTGGACGGAGTCAGGCAGGGATGCAGGAAAGGACTGGAACACAGCAGACATTGTGAGGGTGGCTCCAGGCCGGCCGGGCTTTGTTCTGGGCACGAGGGGGTGGTTGTGGGTTAGAACCAACCCACCTGCACCCAGCAACAAGAAGTCCCTTATTTGCTGAGATGTCCACGTATCTTGTCCATTTTGTAATTAAGATCGTTGCTTCTTTACTGATGAGATTGAAGAGTATTGTAGGTACTTTTGATATTTTTAAAAATGAAAGATGAGTATTTGTCAGGAACCTTGTCCGCACCTCTGCAAAGGATCTCAGGTGGCCTAGTTGGTATAATAAGCTGGGCTGCAATTCCAAAGGCACATGGTTCAAATCCACCAGCTGCTTCTCTGGAGAAGGCTGAGCAGTGTCCTTCTGTGCGACTAACTGCCTCTGATGACCCGCTGGACGGTCAGCTGAGTCAGTGCCAGCTCTGTGGTATGCAACAACAACAAAAATGATCAGTTCTTTCCACATAGATATATTGGTGGTGGTGGTGGTGGTGGTGGTGGTTATGTGCTGTTGAGTTGCCTGCGACCCATAGTGACCCTGTGTACAGCAGCCCTGAAGCCTGCCCTGTCCTGAGCCGGTCTCACTAATTCCGACACACCAACCCACATTGCCCCAGTTACTCTATCAGTCCATCTCATCTGGGGTCTTCCTCCCCTGCACTGTCCCTCCACTCTTCCAACCATGGTGTCCTTCTCCAAGGACGGGTCCCTCCTGGCCACGTGCCCAAAGTGTGTGAGATTGAGCTTCAAAATCCTTGGTTTCACCCTCTCCAAGACAGGCCTGTTTGTTTTCTTGGTGGTCCACGGTATGTTCAAGAATCTTCTGCAGCACCATAGTTTGAAGGAATCGATTCTTCTGTCATCCTTAGTCATTGTCCAGCTTTCTGAAGTATAGCAAATAATTGCAAAGACCATGGCCTGGATTAGGCACACCTTAGATAGACACTGTTGCTTCTCAGTACTCTGGAGTGGTCTCTGACAGCAGATTTTCTCAGTGCAATTAGTCTTTTGATTCCCTGACTGCTGGTACCAGGAGCGTTGATTGTGGAGCCAGGCAAGCTGTAGTTGTTAACAACTTCAATCTCTTCTCCATCTATCACGATGCTGCCAGTCAGCCCAGTGGTGAGAATCTTTGTTGTCTTGATACTGAGCTTCAGTCCATATTGCAGGCTGCAGTCCTTGACCTTCTGCAGCAAGCGCTTCCTTCAGGTCCTCCTCAGTTTCAGCAAGCAGGGTTGTGTCATCTGCATCTCGCAGGTTGTTGAGTCTTCGTCTAATCCTGAGGCCACACTCCTCCTCACTAGGCGGGAGTCCGTCAGTGACCCCATGTGGGGCGGGACGACATTCTTCCCCGTCCTCTCTGGCACACTCGAGGCCACCGCTGCGGTCACTGTGTCAGTCCACCTCCTGGAGGTCTTCCTCTCTGTCACGGACCCCCGTTACCCCAAGCTTGATGCTCCCCGTGCTCTCCCTGTTGTTGGTGCCATCGAGTCAAGTATGGTTCATGGCAAAGCTACGAACAGCAAACGCGTGCTGTCCGCTCCAGCCTCACCCTCCTGACACCCTGGAGCCCACCGCTGCGGTCAGTCGGTCCATCGGGCTGCGTCTCCCTCTCTGTCACTGACCCTCCCTCCACCTTTCCAAGCTCGATGCTCTCCCAGAGGTGATTTAACTGACTTGTGGGGGCTCTGCGGAGGGGACCCTCAGCTCTGACTGCCCTGCCTGGTTAGGTAGCCGCGGGGGGACTGTCCTGGAGTGTCTGTGCGGGTTTTCGTCCCTGAGGTGGCAGTTGTGGTAACCAGGTGACACAGGTGGTCAAGTGCCATACGTTAGAGGTTCTAGTTCCCTCACAGGACCCTCCGCTGAAAGGCCTGGTGATCCACTTCTGAAAAACCAGCCGTTGGAGACCTTAGCACAGGTCTGCTCAGACGTGAGGGCCGGTGACGCGGCATCTGTGTGATGCGATGGCCTTAAGCCTGTCATGCCTCTTCCTTCTGGGTGCGTCACCACTATCTCAGTATCTGAGGGTGAGAGTGATAAGACTGTTGTGGTCTGTTTTCTCCAGTTGCTCTTGGTTTTGTTTTCTTTTTCTCCTGAGGGCTTTGGCTTTTCCCGATGGTTTCTGGCAGCACAGCCGGTGAGGTGCCTGGCTGCACCCGCCGCTCTGGGAGAGCCACGTGGCCAGGTGTTTCTATAAGGTGGTCCTGTGGTCAGGGGCTGTGGACAGACTCATGGACGCTCCTGTGTCCAGCAGGAGGGAGACTGTCTTCACTGCTCTCAAGGTCACAGCTGCGAGCCTCTGGGACAGCGCTCAGCTCTGTCTTCTCACTGGTAGTGGGAATTGACTCAGTGGCAACGGGCATTGTCTTCCTGAACTGGGACCCTCAAGGCCTGCTTGGGTAGAAGGACGGGGCGCCAGGCGGTGGCTGCCCTGCTGAGCGCTTGCTACACTTCAGTCTGCTGCCTCTTCTCCTGGGGAGACAGACCCCCACATCGGGATCTACTGCCTCTTCTGGGGAGACAGGCCCCCCTCCATCAGGATCCGCCTCCTGGGACGTCACACCCACAGTGCTACCTGAGGGGTGGGGGGTGTCCCAGCCTCCTCCTTTGGGGTGTTGAACAAGGGTGGCTGGCGGGCTCAGTACTCCAGGGTCACCAGGCCCTTGCCCTTCCCCTTCAGCTAGGCCCAGTCCCAGCCCAGGAAACCGGCTTCAGTTGGGGTGGGGGCAGGGCGCAGGCCCAGCAGGAGAAGGGGGAGGGGAGGGATGTGTAACAGCCCCAAACAGACCTTCCTCTTGGGAGGCAGGACGGGGCCAGTGGGGGGTCATCTACCTGGGATCTCCAGCTCTGGTTTAAGATCCCACTTGCAGCTGCCTCTTCCCCAGCCTGTGGCCAGCCTTTGGGCCTGTGTCCTATCCTCTTGTCTGTGCCTGGTAGGCTGAGGGTCGTGTAAGCGCAGGGGTGGCCTTTCAGTTGCTCCTGTGGGGGGGAGGCTGTTGCTAATGTGTGTACTGGACCCTCGTCTCGTGGGGCCGAGTCCGTAAGGAGCTGTGCTGCCCACCCACATGCCTCCGGGGTCGGTTGAGGGGAGTTGCTTCCCACTCAAATGGATTACGGTTGAGTTTTGAGTCTTGTAGTCAGAAGACGGCTTTCGTGAATTCATCAGGTGTCCCGGGAGAGAGGCCTTGCGTGGCCTGTCAGGAGAGGAGGAACTCTAGTGATACAGAGGTTAAAGTACTGTTTCTGCTAATGAAAGGTCGTTTGATTCACACCCAGGGGCTGGTCTGCGGGAGAACGATGGGGCAGTCCCGTCTGTAAGGGTTAGAGCCTCCGGACGGAGGGGGCAGGCCTGCTGTCTTCAAGGTCTCCACGGTCTGATTGCACTTGGCAGCAGTGGGTTTGGATCGCTCAGGATTCTGAAGTGTCATAGCTGACCCTCCAGCAGGTTTTCAGAAGCAGGAAATCACACGGGAGATCGCCCATCTTTCTCCTTTTGAGCAGCTAGTGGATTCGAACCATGTGCCTTTGGGATTGCAGCGCAGCATCTTAACTAGGCTGCCAGAGCACCCTTGATCTGCGTGGTCCCGGCTTGTCAGAACAAAGGGAAAGGCCTGTCTGAGCTCATATCTCACGGTTTCTTTTATGACAGACAACGACGACGAGGCTGGGACTCCTGGAAATGGAGTGTGTATCCACCAGAGGCTGCCGCCCTCGGGTCTAGTGAGGCCCCAGCCATGGCCTGGGGCTCCTGACGTCCGATGTTCCGGAACCCCAATGCTCCACACTGCGGACGCAGGACCCGGGGCCGCTGACCATGGTCACGCTCATCACTGAGAAGCTGCAGAACCAGAGCCTGGACGACCTCGCCCGCAAGACCTACGATGGCAGCCTGGTGAGCACAGGGGCTGGAGGGTGGCAGGGG